AACCCATGTCCATTGAGTCGGTGATGCCATCCAACCATCTCATCCTCTGTCGTCCCCTCTCCTCCTGCCCTCAATCTTTCCCAGCATCAGAGTCTTTTCAAATGAGTCAGCTCTTTGCATCAGGTGGCCAAAGTATTGGAGCTTCAGCTTCAACATCAGTCCTTCCAATGAACACCCAGGACTGATTTCTCTTAGGATGCACTGGTTGGATCTCCTTGCAGTCCAAGGGACTCTCAAGAGTCTTCTCCAATACCACAGTTCAAAAGCATCAATTCTTCGGCGCTCAGCTATCTTTAGAGTCCAACTCTCACATCCATACCTGACTACTGGAAAAACCATAGCCTTGACTAGACGGACCTTTGTTGACAAAGTAATGTCTCTGCTTTTTAATATGCTGTCTAGGGTTGGTCATAACTTTTCTTCCAAGGAGTAAGTGTCTTTTAATTTCATGGCTGCAGTCACCATCTACAGTGATTTTGGAGCCCAGAAAAATAAAGTCAGCCACTGTGTCCACTGTTTCCCCATCTATTTGCCATGAAGTGATGGGACAAGATGCCATGATCTTAGTTGACTGAATGTTGAGCTTTAAGCCAACTTTTTCACCCTCCTCTTTCACTTTCATCAAGAGGCTCTTTAGTTCTTCTTCGTTTTCTGCCATAAGGGTGGTGTCATCTGCATATCTGAGGTTATTGATATTTCTCCTGGCAATCTTGATTCCAGCTTGTGCTTCTTCCAGCCCAGCATTTCTCATGATGTACTCTGCATATAAGTTAAATAAGCAGGGTGACAATATACAGTCTTGATGTACTCCTTTTCCTATTTGGAACCAGTCTGTTGGTCCATGTCCAGTTCTAACTGTTGCTTCCTGACCTGCATACCTGATCTCTTGAGTTTTTCAAGAGGCAAGTGAGATGGTCTGGTATTCCCATCTCTTTCAGAATCTTCCACAGTTTTTTGTGATCCGCACAGTCAAAGGCTTTGGCATAGTCAATAAAGCAGAAATAGATGTTTTCCTGAAACTCTCTTGCTTTTTCGATGATTCAGTGGATGTTGTCAATTTGATCTCTGGTTCCTCTGCCTTTTCTAAAACCAGCTTGAACATCTGGAAGTTCATGGTTCACGTATTGCTGAAGCCTGGCTTGGAGAATTTTGAGCATTACTTTACTAGCGTGTGAGATGAGTGCAATTGTGTGGTAGTTTGAGCATTCTTTGGTATTACCTTTCTTTGGGATTGGAATGAAAACTGACCTTTCCCAGTCCTGTGGCCACTGCTGAGTTTTCCAAATTTGCTGACATATTGAGTGCAGCACTTTCACAGCATCATCTTTTAGGATTTGAAATAGCTCAACTGGAATTCCATCACCTCCACTAGCTTTGTTCATAGTGATGCTTCCTAAGGCCCACTTGACTTCACATTCCAGGGTGTCTGGCTCTAGGTGAGTGTGCGTGATCACACCATCGTGATTATCTGGGTCATGAAGATCTTTTTTGTACGGTTCTTCTGTGTATTCTTGCCACCTCTTCTTAATATCTTCTGCTTCTGTTAGGTCCATACCATTTCTGTCCTTTATTGAGCCCATCTTTGCATGAAATGTTCCTTTGGTATATTTAATTTTCTTGAAGAGATCTCTAGTCTTTCCCATTCTATTGTTTTCCTCTATTTCTTTGCATTGATCGCTGAGGAAGGCTTTCTTATCTCTCCTTGCTATTCTTTGGAACTCCACATTCAAATGGGTATATCTTTCCTTTTCTCCTTTGCTTTTCACTTCTCTTCTTTTCACAGACGATTTGTAAGGCCTCCTCAGACAGCCATTTTGCCTTTTTGCATTTCTTCTTCTTGGGGATGGTCTTGATTCCTGTCTCCTGTACAATGTCACGAACCTCCGTCCATAGTTCATCAGGTACTCTGTCTAACAGATCTAGTCCCTTAAATCTATTTCTCACTTCCACTGTATACTCATAAGGGATTTGATTTAGGTCATACCTTAATGGTCTAGTGGTTTCCCCCACTTTGTTCAATTTAAGTCTGAATTTGGCAATAAAGAGTTCATGATCCGAGCCACAGCCAGCTCCTGGTCTTGTCTTTGCTGATTGTATAGAACTTCTCCATCTTTGGCTGCAAAGAATATAATCAATCTAATTTCGGTGTTGACCATCTGGTGATAGGGTGCACCATGCAACATGTAGGATCTTTCCTAAACAGGGAACCAAACAAGAATATTGGAATGGATTGCCATTTCCTACCCAAAGCATCCTCCTGTCTCACTGATTAAACCCTCTGGAGGGATGGAACCCACCGAGTCTCTTGCATCTCCTGCATTGGCAGGTGGATTCTTTACCTTTGCACCACTCAGGAAACCGCCAGGGAAGACCACTAATTCTTTCCAGCCTTCTGAAGATATCAAGGGGCAAGTCTCCATGTGCTGCTAGAATATCATTAACACCTCTTTTTCACTTGCTAATCTCTTAACAGGATTCTAGCCATGCTGCCAGCTGTATGATATCTAGCTAGAATATAGTAACATTGTCTTCTTTTTATTTTCTGTATTTTGAAATTACCTATTATCCGTGACATGTGATATTGATTTTTTATTCATAGTAATCATGGTCGATAAAATAAATTTATTTGGGGAAAGATATCATAAATCATATATCCATCTAAGGAATAACATCCAGAATTATATATAGAACTCTTGTCAACAAGGAAAATGAAGTGAAAAATCAAATAGAAAAATGAGCAAAAAAGGCTTAAACATTTCAAAGAAAGATGATATATAAGGGACCAATGAACAGATGAAAAATGCTCAACCACATTAGTCATTAGAGAAATGTGAATTAAAACTACAGTTTAATATCCCTGTACACCCACCAGGACTAAAAAGAGAAAAGACTTTCAATATCAAATGTTGACAGGACTGTGGAGTAATTGGAACTCTGACTCATTGGTAGTGAGGATGTAATTTATAACAACTACTTTGGGAAACTGGCCATATCCACTGAACCTGGGCATTTCCATATTGCCCTCTGACCCAGAAATTCAACTCCTGGGTATAAACCCAACAAAAATGAGTATGTGTGTTCACCAAAAATCTTGCATAAGAATACTCATGGCAGCTCTACTCATAATAGCCAAAAACTGAAAACAAATTACATGTCAGCAGTAGAATGGAGAAACACATCCTGTTATATTCACATAATGGAATACTGTATAAAAGTGACAATGAATAAATTAAACTACACAAATGAATAAATTAAGCAAGACACATAAAAAGACCAGTCTTTATGGTTCCATGATGAGAAGTTCAAATGCAAACGAAACTAATCTGTGTTGTTACAACTCAGAGAGTGGTAACCTGAGGGTCTGTGTCTAGGAGGTGGTACCAGGCCAGCGGCGGAGGGCTCATAGTGTTATTGACCTGGGCGAAAAATTGCTTTTTCTTACTTGAGTGAAAGTTAGTTGATTTGTGTACTTCGTCATATGTGTTGTATGTCAAGAAGAAATGACTTAAATTTGAGTTTTTAAAAGTGAAACACATAAAGACAAGCATTTCAGGAGGGATAAATGAGGAGTTTGGGATTAACATACACATACTACTATATATAAACTAGATAACCGACAAGAACCTACTGGATAGGGTTTTTTTTTCCTTCCTGAATAGGTTTGTGAATCACTTTGTGAATCACTTTACTGTATACCTGAAACTCACACATTATAAGTCATCCTGACTGCAATTTAAAAAAATAAAGAAAAAAATTTTTTTCTTTTTAATTTATTTTTTTATTGAAGGATAATAGCTTTACAGAATTTTGTTGTTTTCTGTCAAACCTCAACATGAATCCTCCATAGGTATACATTTATCCCCTCCCTTTTGAACTCACCCCCACCTCCCTCCCCATCCCACTCCTCTAGGGTGATACAGAGCCCCTGTTTGAGTTTCTTGAGCCATAGAGCAAATTCTCGTTGGCTATCTATTTTACATGTGGTAATGTGAGTTTCCATGTTACTCTTTTCATACATCTCACCCTCTCCTCCCCTCTCCCCATGTCCATAAGTCTAAAGAAAAAAATTTTTTTAAACAAAGAGAAGCATTTAGACAATGAAAATCTGAAGATATGACAGGTCTCCTGAAGATGGAGCTCAAATGGCACATGTTCAGGGAATTCTGCCCTTGGTGCTCAAGTCTGAATGGTCCCCCCTAGCTTCTCAGGTCCTGTAACATGTCACGGGGCAGTTCAGTGTGGTGGTTAGGAGCACAGATTTTGGAATCTGACGAGCCTGAATTTGAACCTGAGCTCTGTCACTGGCTATATAGGACGTCAGACAAATTACCAAGCCTCTCTGGGCATCAGCTTATTCATGTATAGATCACTTTCGAGTTGGGTTTGATTAGTGAAACAGTGTGGTCCAGTGCTGGGCACACAGGATGGCCATGATAAACGGAGCCACACCCAGAGCTGCCTGATGCTCACTGCACAAGACCTGCTGTTTCACACCTCTTTGCATCCCCAAGTGTCTGTTCTTCTGGAACACCCTTCTATTTGGTGGTCATACAGCCCATCCTTCAGTGCCCATCTCAAGTACCTCCTCCTGTGTGATGCCACACCCTATGGGAGGCTTAGAAAAAGATTAGGACTCTGAAGGCTCAGATGAGTTAGCATTTTTAACAATAAAGTATTTTTAAATTAAGGTAAATTTAAATTGGGGCTTCCCAGGTGACTCAGTGGGTGAAGAATCTACTTGCAAGGCAGGAGACTCCAGGGTCAGAAAGATCCCCTGGAGAAGGGCATAGCAACCCATTCCAGTATTCTTTCCTGGAGAATCCCATGGACAGAGGAGCCTGGTGGGCTACAGTCCATGGGGTCGCGGAGAATTGGATATGACTGAGCACAAATTGAGGTATGTACATTGTTTTTTTAGACATAATGCTACTGCACACTTAATAGACTACAGTATAGTGTAAACATAAGTTTTGTAGGCACTGGGAAACCAAAAATTTTGTATGACCCCTTCTATTGAGATATTTGCTTTATTGTGCTGGTCTGGAGCTGAATCTGTAATATCTCCAAGGTACCTATGTATGGTTTATTACTCCTTTCGTGCTGGGCAACTTATAGGAGAAGACTCTGGAAAATACTTGCTGAATGGAAGAATGAAGAGCTTTTCAAATGATTCTAGCGTCCCTGCCATTTCCTGGTGGGGTGGGGCAGAGGCTGGTTCCCTTTGCGTGCCCGTAAGAGCAACAGACACACAGCCCCGTGCAAGGGACCTCATTCACCTCGGTGGAGCATGGGCACCACGAGATGTGTTGTGGGTGAGTGGTTATCACCATGACGTCAGCCTCAAAGGTTAGGGATGTCCCCAAGCCATCCCAGTTCCCTTTATCACCCTATATGGATAGGTCACTCATGAGAGTGACTCTAACTTCTACTTAACCTCTTGGTCACCTAACAGGTTCCCTAAGCCAGGCACTTGCTGACTGAGACTGTGACGCTTAGTTCTCCACTTCTACAAGTTGTTGTTGGCCAGGATAGGGAAGAGAGTGGGGCAACTTATTCAGATGTGACCTCATAGGTGACTGAGCCCATCTCAGCGCTTTAGTAAAACATAGTTTACTAAAACATGTTTTAGTAAAATAGGTTAAAAAAAATATTCCCTTTGCAAAGCAAGGACTAGAGAACCCCATTTGAAACCTAAGCAGCCCTCCATGATAATGGTCATGCCGCCTTCACCCTGCCCCTCACCTGCACCCCATCCTCTCCCCACACATGCAAGCACTTAACACAGTACCCTGACCCTGCCCCTCCGCTCAGAACATCACACCTCAACTTTTCAGCCTCTGAAATTCAACTCATAGCTACAGTTATCACCAGTGCCAAGTCTGTCAGGATAAGAGATGGAAAAGGCAGGAATTTCGGCCGTCCCATCTCCTAAGTGGAGACAGAGACAGGTGGAAATCAAGTGCAGTGGGGGAGGGGCGCCGTGGCCAGAGAAGAGGACCCAGGTTTGCGGAGGGGAGACTGGGGAAAGGGAAGGCTTCCTGGAGGAGGCTGATGTTTTGGTTGCTGATCAGTCTGCTCTCTGTTTCACCCGCTAGAATGTCAGCTCCACGAGGGCAAGGGACCTCACGCCTTGTCTTCAGCCGTCTTTCCAATGCCTGAAAGTCAGGTACAGTGACAGGCTTAGTGCAGGGTTTAAGCAGCATCAGTGAAGAAATCGGGGAAGGGCTGAGCTAAGATGAGCCAGATGAGTGGAAGTCGGCCTCTCTGCAGGCTTTTTAGGAGGGAGGTACATTGTGAACAAAGAGCTGGAGGTGGGAAAGGGTAAGAGTGGAGGGAGATGCCGTCGTGGGGGTGGGGCGGGGCAGAGATTGGCGAGGGATGAGGCTGGAGAGACAGGAAGGGCAGGAGGGCCAGCCAGAGCCCCCCAGCTCCCCCACCTTCTTCCTCTGACGAGGTCCTTCTGCCCCCTGGCACTTTATCTGCACTTTCTTTATACCCTAAATCCTGCCTTGTGTTGCATGAGTTCATTCATCAGCACTTACTAAGCAGCTACGATGTGCCAGGTATGGGGCTGGAGCAAAACACCCACCACGTGTGGCATAAGCCAGTCTCCAGAGTGATTGCCCACCCAGTATCATAGCTCATCCTCACAACAATGCTGGAGAAAGGGACCCCTCCCTCCCTCCTCCCTCCCTCCTCCCTCCCTCCTCCCTTCCATCTATTTATATATTTAACAAATATATATTGACAGCTTAGTATGTGTCACGGACCAGGAATGTATCACAAGCAAGACCCCTCATTGGGGTGTGGGGGACAATAAACTCAAACAAACTAGCAAGGTAATCTTAGGTGATGATAAGCTCTGTGAAAGACACGGCAAACAGGGTGATGTGACCAGGAGTGACTGGTGGGATGCTGGATCCGGAAGGCTCCCTGGGAAGGTGGCATCTAAGTCACCAGCCATGCGAGGAGCACAGCAGGCTGAGTGCACAGCACATGCAAAGGTACTGGGGTGGGACCGTGCCCAGGGTATCGGAGGAGCAAAAGGAAGGCGCTCTGCATAGCCAGAGAACTGGAATATTCGATGTGGGTGAAGTGGAGAGTGGAAGGGATGAGACAGAAGAGGAAGCCAGCAGCCAGATTAGAAAAAGGTTGTAGGGGCTTCCCGGGTGGCACAGTGGATGAGAATCCGCTTTGCAATGCAGGGGACACTGGTTTGATCCCCGCTCCGGGAAGATTCCACATGCTGCGGAGCAACTAAACCTGTGCACCACAACCACACTGAATCCATGCTCTAGAGCTCCCGACCCACAGCTTCTAAAATCCACACACCTAGGGCCCGTGCTCCACAACCAGAGAAGCCACTGCAATGAGATGAGAAGCCCAAGCACTTCAATGAACAGTAGCAGCTGGTTGCTGCAAGTAGAGAAAGCCCACACAAAGCAATGAAAACCCAGCATAGCCATAAATAAATAAAACCTCCTGCTGATACAGATGTTGGAGATTTCTAAAAAAAGGGGGGGGTGTAGACACTGGATTAATTCTGCAGTGAGATGTGAGTCCGTTGAAAGGTTTTAAAGAAGCTAGATGATGTATTCTGTGTGATGCTTTAATGAGACCATGGGGCTAAGCTGGAAGGAGGCCGGAGGCCAGCAGTGGCAGACAGTGGGTGTGGGAGGTGAACCGGGCAGAATCCGCTGCAGGAAGCCTGGGTTTCTCTTCCAGACCTGCTTCTTCCCAGCTGTCCCATCTCAGAAAATGGTCCCACAGCACACCCGACGGCTCCCTCCAGCCAGAAACTCTCAAGTCCTTCTGGCACATCCTTTCTCCCTTTCACCCTCCACACCCCTTCAGTTCTGTCCATGTTCACATCCGGAAAGGGGGACCATCTCCAGGCAGGCCAGTGCCCAGCTAAGGGGGTGTACCCCAGCAGCCGGGCTGTGGGACTGTCTCAGCAGTTTCCTGCTTCTCTGGGGAGAAAGTGGAGAGTAGGTTTTAGCCACAGGGAGGCTCCGCCAACAGGCGAGGATGATGAAGGGAGCAGGGAGCAAGAGGTGGGGGTGTTGCAAGACAGTGGTGGTGGTGGTTTAGTCGCTAAGTCGCATCTGATTCTTGCAGTCCCATAGACTGTAGCCTGCCAGGTTCCTCAGAATACTGGAGTGGGTTGCCATTTCCTTCTCCAGGGGATCTTCCCGATCCAGGAATCGAACCCAGGTCTCCTACATTGCAGGCAGATTCTTCACCAACTGAGCTACAAGGGAAATACAATAATCAGATCCAAATGGTAGACCATGGACTCCGAGGTGGGAGAGGCAGAAGGGAAAGCAGGAGGGGTGACGGCCAGTGGGGGAGTCCCTGAGTGGGGGTTTTAGACAAAGCACCCATGGAAGAAAATGTGAGCTGGGAGGGTGGGAGCGGTGATCAGGGTGGGGACATGGGGAGCGCCCCTGGGAGTGGGTGGCTGGCAGAGTGGAGAAAGCAGCATCAGGAGGTCTGGGTGCTGCGGAGCATCTCTGTGGATGTGGGAGCCGCGGAGAGCCAGGCCAGGGTGGATGACGGGCAGCAGGCCCCCGGAGCGCTGGGGCTGGTGGGGAGGTGATGGACAACAGCACGGACAGAGGCGTGGCTGCTACGGCTGGTTGGCGTCTGTTCAGAAGGGCCAGGAGACTGGAGGAGGAATGATCTGGAAACAGGGAATGAGAAGGTCGCCCCTGCCGCACCTCCCCGGCCTGAGATTCCTCCTTTTGAAATGGCTGCTGTGGGTCTCCATCCTCTCCAGAAGGTTGGGGGGCACACTAAGACGGCCAAGGCCCCCAGGAAGGGCCGCAAAGGGGTTGAGAGAGGGGCCTGGACAGGGGGCTGGGCCAAGCTGAGGCCACACTTGGCCAGTTTCCCAAGTAGCTAAAGTGGAAGAAGAAATGGGCCAGCCCAGCAGGCCTCCTGGGGCAAGAGAAGGTGGTGGCCACGGGTGAAGGCAGAAGAGGGAGCTGTGGAGGAAGAAGGTCCCCAAGAGGGTGAGAAGTTAATTAGCTCATCACCCAGGTGGCTCAGAGGTAAAGAACCCACCTGCCAATGCAGGAGACAAAGGAGACGTGGGTTCAACCCCTGGGTCAGGAAGATCCTCTAGAGAAGGAAATGACAACCCACTCCATTCTTGCCTGGGAAATCCCATGGACAGAGGAGACTGGCGGGCTGCAGTCCATGCGGTCAAAAACAGTCGGACACGACCGAGCTACTGAGCATATATACACAATGTAGGTTAACGATCCAGTCTTAATTTTCACTTATTTGTTTGTTAAGGTTGATTACGCCCAGCTCCCAGCTGGTCCAGCCTCTGGCCGATGTCCAAAATTCCTTGCCCTAGCCGTTTAAGAGATAACTACTCCGAACAACTTTAGAGAAGAACAGGCCCCCTTAAGACAGTAACTTTCCACATATATACCTATATATACTTGCTCATTTCTTAGGTTAGTGCAGCAGGTCGCTAATCTGACTGCTGCTCCTTCTCACCTCATTAAAGGTGATCTGTTCCTGTCAAGTGCCGGGTTTCGTTCTTTTTCTGAACCTCGCCTTCTCTAACTCCCCTACCTTACATTTTTGGTGCTGAAACCCAGGAGGTTGAGGTTCCTTCTAGTTCTCCACGGCCAGCTCTTTGGAGCATGGAAGCCTGCCAAGCTCACTTTCCCGCCTGGGCTTTCAAGACCTCCTCGAGAGGACGCCCTGCGCCTTCATGAGCGGTACAAGTCCTGTGAAAGGGCTTTATTGGTTTTCCACATAACCCAAAGAATATTGGCCTCTCTCTCTCTCTTTCTCTCTCTTCCTCTTTTCTCTACACTTTCTTTTCTAGGAGACCGACCAACTCCAGGACAGAGGCCTTTTGCCATTCGACCACTCTACATGCAACATTCCACTCGAGCCGACCCCTAGATTAAGGTAAGATCCAGACGGTGTTCTAGAGGTACCCTAGAGCCCAGTCCTTTCTGGGTCCCGGGGACCCCCGGCCTAGGGCCAGTCTGTAGATGATGGTGGGGGACAGTCCACTTCGACACAGAGCTCTCTTCTCATAACTCCTGTTGCGACTACGGGTGATGACTCGAGCTCCCAATAGGAGCCTCTGCCTGCCTTTCATATGGGGTCTGGCCAATCTGTCCAAAAAGATTCCTCTCTGGCATGTGTTCTCAAAAATCTCAGACCACTCTCACTCACTGAACTCAAAGCTAACCACTTAAAACAACTTTATATACAGATCTGGCCTCAATACCAATTAGACAACCAAAACCGCTGGTCTGAGTTCGGGACTTTCGATTTCAATATTTTATCAGATCTCACTAACTTCCTCAAATGGAATGGC